TTCAGGTCACTGCAACAAGCCCAGGTACAGTTTACCGACGGATGGGTGCAGGACCTTGAAATGCACCGTGTAGAACGAAAGACCATCGTACGTATCATAAGTTTACCAGTCTCACAAATCGTCTCATAAATACACATTCGTTAACCGTTTATTAATAGGACCTTTGAGCTCAATGGTAATTAATTAGTAGTGGAAATAATTTCTGGTACGCGTTACAGAAATGTAGCAGTGACAATAATACTGTATGCTGTAATCGTACTGGGCAATTAGTGATACAAAACAACTGTTTTATCCTGTGAATAAAAGTATATGTTTTTGTCAATGTACCATAATAACAGAAGCGAAACGCAATATTGTGTCAGGACAATTCACTATTTATGCACAATAAATGAGCACAATTTCTGTTAGGACGTCTACCTAATATAATTATTAATGAAGAAATACCTACTAACACTGACTTGTTTGCTTGGAGAGAACCTTAGCCTGGAGTTCTGGACGTTAATATTTGTCCTTTAAATGTGATCGGAATCGGTGGTCTTTTACTCGACAATTGACATGTCTCTTCAACGAGTATCGATACACCGATCTATCCTAGTCGTCGCTGTCACTATTGCAGTTAATAACAGCTTCTTCTGTTTTATCGCTGTGTGACTGATTTCAATTGAAAGCCTGCGTGCGCTAGTACTGCCACGGTTCTACCCCTGAATGACGTCACATTTTCAATCTCTATATAATATGCATGTTAAATTTTATATTTGGGGTGAAATATCAAGTCTTTTCAAGTAAACCGGTTCAAGTCCAATTCAAGTCCCAGGTCATTGGTGTAAAAGTCCAAGTCAAGTCACAAGTCTTAGAACATTTTTTCAAGTCAAGTCTAAAGTCATAAAATTAATGACTCGAGTCTGACTCGAGTCCAAGTCATGTGACTCGAGTCCACACTCTCTGTCATTAACCCTTTAAAACCGGTCGGAGTGGGCACGCTCCATTTTGTATAACTATTTTTAACTCCCTGTAGAACTGGAACCACGTAAGCTAGCGCAATAATTTTTTTTGCATATGAAACCGGAGGAGTTGTACTTACATCTTATGCCATTAGCTTGCCCTAGGTCACGGTTTCCTTCCACATATAGCTTTGCAAAAATTGCATAAAAAGCACTAGCAGCAACAAAAACATAATATTCCAGAAACACGCTTTGCTGATCCAATCAGCTGTTTGTAACACTTCCTACGTTGGAATATAGGTCAGCGCGAACTATCGCATGTCCGCCATTACCTGATCGAAACCGGAAGTGATGTCATTTTCACGGAAAGGGCCTTATAAGCCTATGCTGGTGTTTTTAAAAGTTATGTTTGACTTTATGCTTTTCTGTATCATTTCTGGGATGCTTAGAACTCAAATTACACTGTTGGAAATAGTTTATTTTGATGCACATGCTGTTTCTTTGCAGCAAGTTGGGAAAAGAAAAACTATAGCCTGCCGAAGATACAGCAGTCTTTCACACAAGGCCCTTATGAGAAAACGTCCCAGCGCCATAAACAAATCACAGGAGCCATCTCGCGTTACATTTGTAAAGGCGTGGCCCTTGTTTATGTAGTTGAGAAGGACAGCTTCCGTGACCTCGTCAAAGTCCTTGATCCGAGGTACGTAAGCACTTCAGTAAAGTCAAGTTGCCTTGCTTATATGACGCATGCCGGGCCAAAGTAGAGAAGGATGTTTGCAGTGTCATGCATTATGCCTTGATGACTGTCTTATGGACGAGCAGAGATACGCCCTACATGAGCGCAACCATCCATTTCATTAACAAAGACTGCACCCTCTATTGTCGCTGTTTACAGACTGCGTACTTTCCAGATGACCACAGGTCAGGTGGTATATCGTGATATATATCGTTATCGTGATATAAAATAATTCATATCGTGATAAATCTTTTTTCCATTGCAGTCAGCTGGCACAGAGTGGGTAATGAAATATTTTTCCCACTGATAACCCTGCATCCAGTTGAACAGAATCACGTTTGTTTTTTTTTAATTCTTTACATGTATTATTGATTCAATTTGATTGTTGATACAGTGTGAAAGCCTTTTTTCTTTTCTTTTCTTTTTAACACACCAGTCATGTCCTGTTGCACCCTCTAGCAAGGAAAGGGATGGTGAAAAAATGCTACTTTTTAAAAAATAAATAAATAACAAACTTAAACTGCTTGGTGTACTAATGTAGGGTGTGTGCTTGTGTCTATGATCGTGTTGTAAACCTGTTGTCAGTATTTCAGCCCCCTGCCTCCCCCCTTCCTGTGATTTGTTGAACAGTAAATGTGTGTCTGAGATAAATTCTCCAGCTGATCCAGAGCTGCATCATGGCTGACAAATGAAACCAGCATCTCTGAACAGGACGAAGAATGAGGGGGAGGTGTGGCAAGAGGGAGAGAGGGAAGGTTGAATGAGTAGAAGTGGAAATGGAATCATTTCATTATTCTTCACCACAGACCTTGTGACAGTCACGGTTTGTTATTGGGCGCTAATTAAAACAGCAACAATCCTAACAACTGGCAGTTAAAGACTTGTAAAAGAGGTGATGGGAAATGAGTTCTGCACTGAGTGCATAAACTCGTTCCTAATTCCCCCCTCTAACACCTCTCTTCACTCTTTTCTTTACTCATTAGGAAGACTGAGTGCTGTCGCTGACCACTGCATTGAATGATTGGTAGAAGGGGGAAGAGAGTGCAGATAATGACTTCTTTTTTCTTTAATAGTTTGACTGAATACACTGAGCAACTGACTCATGTTGCATTAAACCTTTTTTTTTCTTGTCTGTGGTAGTGGGAGATTGTTGCTTTTTCTTCAAATATCATTAACATTAGCACCATTAAATCCATGCTTGCTGTCAAATTACTTGACATAATTTGTGAAGAAGAAACAGATTTTCTACAGGCAGTCATGGCTGCACTCAGTGATTAAAACGTAAAGAAAATGGGTGTAGGTAACTGAGTTTTACCAGTTTGACTGAGTTTTATTTATGACCACATGTGGTCATAAATAAAAGTGACTAAAGTGTTTTTGTAGCCTGATAGCCAAGATCATGGGCTCAAAGAACTTTTGATGAAGGTCAAACAAAGTTTCTTCATGCTGCTTATTGCTATCACAGTGATTTTGGTCAGTATTTAAGCCACTGTCATCCAACCAGTTTGAACACTGAATTTCAAAAAAACTTATTTTGAAAAGTAGATTGTACATGAATGCTAAAATTGAATTCAGCAACAAAAGCCAGGTTCAATCTATTTTTCTTCTCAAATCAAATCAAATCAAGATTTATTTCTATAGCACATTTTAAAAACAACATCAGTGTTGTCGAAAGTGCTTCATAATCATCCAAAAAGAGAATGAAAGGTTAAGAACAAAGCATTAACAAGCAAAACAGATCAACAAACAACACAGTGACAAACATAAAAAGCAAGCCAGATTATAGCCAAACTTGTTTGAATTCACTCTTCTGAATAAAAACAATTGCATAACATATAAATACATAAAGCCACTTTTAGCTGTTCCCAGTTACAAGGGGATACCACAAAGGGTAGCTCTGCATGTCTGAACTGGCAGACTTTTATCCCTTCCTGACGTATTGCCAAAGGGGGATCTGTGTCTCTTGCTAGAATTGAACCAGTGTGATTTGATTAGATTAACTCTATTACAGAGTGATTCAGGTCTATATTCAGTGTAGCTAAATGTACTGAATGAACAGATTTTTCCATCAGTGGATTACTTTTTCTTTTTTCTTCCCTTGCATATTCCAGGACGACAATGACAGAATTTATTGTGAAAGAATGGTTCAGGGACCATAAAACATCATTTTCACTCAGTCCTTGGCCACAATTGACTCCAGACTTCAACGGCATTGAGAATCTTTGAGATATGCTGCAGAAGACATTATGCAGCAGTCCAACTCTCTCATCATGAATACCAGATCTCGGGGTGGTGGTGGGGGGTAGGGTTAGGGTTAGACTGCAGACTGTGATGAGACCATTGACAATGCTGACTGGTTGAAAAGTTGGCTTGAAAAGGAATGTGAACACCAGCATGTTGACCACGTCAAAGACTCACTCGTAATGTACAGACGAGTAACCCAAACAGTGGTTTTAGTCTGCAGGTGGCATTATTTTAACACAGCTTCAGGCTTCTGCAAAGAAGTTCTTTATGTTGTATTTTCTCTCTTCTCAGTGGCAGAGGCTAAAATGAAGAACCAACTACAGCACAACCATGAATTAGAATACACTACTACATTTTTGACACTAACCCCTGCTGTTATTATTCATTATTGGGTTTTCATAATAAAAGGAAAGTAAAAAGTAAGTAGTTTTTCAGAAAAATACATTTTATCTGACATATTAGTAATGACTGCCAGTAACTACAGAATACAGAAGTGTGATCAACAAAAAAAAACCTTTTAGAGGTATTCACAATGTCTTTGCAATTTACCTTTAGTGCACAGGCCTTTGTAGTGGCTGATGTTGATGTGAACAGGGACTCCAGCGATCCTCAATGCAAATTCTGTTCTCTGTGCGTCAGACAGCTTAGGCCATCATAAAATAACTTGATGGATAAACAGTCAAAATAAATAAATAAATAAATAACAACACTAGAGCCTCCCAACCCCCTTTCCGATCTCACTGCTCTTATGCCTCTTCTCTGATGGATTTGTAAAATGATATAACGAATGAGACTTAAAGTGAGAAGGAAGGAGGGAGGCTGGGTAGGAGAAATGATGGCAGCGAGGAAGGAGACAGAGCATATGATTTATTAGACTCATAAAAATTCTGCCTTTGTTATTCCCTCTCATTTTTATATGTGAAGCTTATTAAAGAGCACACCTGCCAGAGTTCTCAGACAAACTTATGTGTGTGTATGCACACATTATGCATTCAGAATGATGTCAATGTGCATTTGTTCACACTCACTGCCTGGATGCTTAACTCTGGCTTCTGTTTCTTAATCATCCCTGCCCATAGATGCCAACTCTTCCTCCCATCGTAACCCCGCCTCCCAAAGGGTGTTCAGGACACGCTACAAGATGGTGACCCATCTGGGCTCCAGTGCCATGCAGACCCGCTATTACAACCCAGCCCTTTCCTGGCGTGCCAAGAGGCTCCAGTCTGCCAGGTAATCCACGTTATCAGATACTTCCTCAGGTCTGGCTTTAATGTGATTCAGTCTCTAATATCTTTCAGTGCAGAGTGAATCCCTGTCTTTTATGTTACAGTCATGTGTAGCATGAGTGGTAGGGGTCGAAAATTTATGGTGTTCATTTTTACACAGTAGATAACCCAGAGAATAAACCATTTACAATAGTGTGCTCCTCACATTAATTTATACCAGCAGGGAACACATCAAATCCAAGACGGATACAGAGAGAGAGAGGGAGCTGGGTGGTTGGGTGTTTTTATTTATTTATTTATTTTTTAATGTCATTGCAGCCCTCATCTCTCACTTTTTCTTTATCTTCATTCATCAATCTTTCATCTTTGTCTTAGTACTTCTGAGTTCACAGTGAATGCATGTTAATTGGACTCACTGGTTTTATCATTCATCTTTTTTGTCCATCAAAATTGTCATTAAAAATGCAAACTGTTTTATTTCCAGAGTCACAAAGAGATCTCTTTATTGGTGTTTTCAAATAGATTCATTGTATACCACATTTGAAAAGTTGGAGCCAGAAAGCTATGTCAGTTAATCAGCTAGTCATTGCAGCACCCATATTTTAAGCCCTCTAACAAAGAGAATGGAGGTTGTTTTGTGTCTTTTTGATATGGTGCTAAGAGGAGGTCAAACTCCTCTTTATGTGATGTGATATCCAAGGTTTTGTCACTGAGAAAAATTCACTCTTGAATAATCTTTTCATAACCGAGACTTGTAAGCTTAGCTTAAACACTGAAATCCCTGAAAACATGGTTGTTCCAAGGTTTTCCACAATTATGTTGTTGCCTTGGTTCCCAGGGCGATGGTGGTTGGGTGAGGTTGTGTATTTTATTCTAAATGCGACTGGGATTTACAAAATTAACATGTTATGTTAAAGAACAAGTGAAACTAGCAGTTCAGAAAAAAATCAAGAAACATTTTTTCATAGACTTCTTCACAGTCAGACCTCGTTTTAAAATTAGTGGGTTCCCCCCTGCTGGCCAGTTTCAAGAATGCATGTTTAAGACGCCTAACACTAAGATCTAAAGAATAAAGAATGTGATATATTTTTTTTTATGTGTGTAAGATTATGTCCTATGTTTTTTGTTTGCCAAGACTTGGAAGAACAGTTTAAATATAAACCATAATTCAATTCTCTGGTTTCCTAAGAGTTAGATTAGGGGTGGTTTGAAACCGAGCTGACATATCTGCTTCATTTCTTTGTTGCAGTATATGAGATTAACTTGTTTTGTACACATAGAAAGAATAAAGGTTTGGCCCATGCAAAAAGTTTCAGTTTAACATAACAAAGTTTAGAAAGAATCAAGTTCAACTTTATGCCTCTGAATTACATAGTGTGTCACAGACCTTAGTGAACAGATTTCATGCTGCTCTGTAGTGCTAGAAAGGAGTTCGATATGTCTACAGCTGTCACTGTTGGCAAGTTCAACAGTGCTGTCTTTGTCATTTAGATTGTGCGATCTTGTAATTTGTTCGCATAGCCACTTGTAATGAAATAATTTTGTGTATTTGTTTTGTGTGTTGATGATGAGCAGAGTTAATTTGTGCAATCCAGATTTGGTGAAACAGAAGACCCTGGACTGTGGCTGGACTCAGCGTCTGGTGACTTATTACTATTCATTTAGCTGCTGCAGTAAATATTGATTCATCAAGGGATTTTCAATTTGAGCCCCCTGACATCCTGTGAAATATCACCACATGTGTAGAAGTGAGGAAAGAGATAGGGAGGGAGGGGGACCCATCAGGTCCCCAGGGAGACTCGTACCCCCACCCCACCCTCATACCTGCTCCTTTTTTATGCTTTATCTATCTGTTTAACTCCAAAGACCACCACCACTTTTATCAATTTGAAGCTATTGAGTGCAGCATGAGCTCATATTCTTTGCTCTTAACTACTGAGTACTCCTCTTCATCTTTGGCCTATCAGACCCGCTGGTCTCGCTTCATACCTTCTCAACTCTTATCTCTGCCTGCCACAGCTGCATCTTAGAAAACATACCATACATACCGTACCTGACCGCTCAGTAGTCCAGAGGATCCCAATGTGTTCAGATAACCTGTAGAGAAAAGCCATTGATTAGATATTTAAAAGTGGTGTGGTACCATTTAATTCATTTTTGACATTCTTGTTAAGACTTAATTCAATGATATGCATATATTAAAAAATATATATATATTTTTTGTTTTTTAAGAAAAAAATCTAAACACATTTTCCCCTAAAGTTCTGTCTGCATTCAACAAAAATGATTTCAAGGACTGAACATAAAGCTTGCCTAAATAGCATGCACTTGTAGGCGCATCTATCTGTGGTTTGGTAAAAGTCATTGAGAAACATTTCTTATCTTGTCCAACAAAAATAAAATAAAGGTGAGCTTTGTGTATCATATATGTTGAGAGTCAAAGTGTCACTGAGTTCCAGGCCGAGATTTGTGAGCAATGTTTTGGTTGCCTTAATTAAAAGCACGGGGATGTCCTGGATAATATTATTGTTCCCACTGGCCTCTGTTCCAATCACCCATCCTACTTGACAGCATTGACTTGTTTAAACTTTTGAAAATTGTTCTTGGTGACACATTTTAGAATGGGTACTAAGAGTGTTAAAGCTGAAACATGCACCTGCAACACTGAGAATATTCTGCTTCATGGGCATCTTGCATCCCCTAAGGATTTTTTGAGGCTGATGATGGTGCCTCTATTGAGAAAGGGGGAGGTTGCTTAAGGAGTTTAATTTAACTAGTTTTACTTAGTTTTTGGTTTTAAAAAACAGTTTATCTGTAAATATGTGACTGGTAAAACTGATTTCATTTTTTTTAAACTTGTCCTTCTTGTCCATTTAGTTGCACAGATGTCTTGCTCCCAGGCCCACAGAAAGTGAGGTTGCCTCTGCCCAACATACCGTTCTCTCTCCTAGTTTTAACCATAACAGGCATGGTGTGTGATTTAGAGCTGGGTGACAGTTTGAAGGGGCGGGGGAATCGGCTGTAGTATTTCAGGCCCCGCCACCAGAAAATAGATATAATCTCAACATTAACTCCATTAATAGTATCAGGAGTTGAATTAAGAAAGCTGTAAAGCATGCACTCTGGAGGATAAATTACAGCCCAACCCTCCTTTCATCTCCCTTGCTATTTTTCTCCCCGTGAACCACTCTTTAATTTTCTGTCCCCCTATGTTTGCTCTGTTGCTGTTCTTTCTTGTGTTTTATGTCTTTCTGTTTGATAAAATTTCATGTCAGTCTTGCAAATGCCTCCATCTTTCTCTGCTTTATTTCTGGCATAAATGTTAAGGCCCTCATGCATATACATACATACATACATACATAGTTTTGTGTAAATATATATATATATATGTATATGTACACACACACATCTGGTCCGGCGCTCATCTCCTTTAGTGCTTCAGTATTGATCAGTACAGGATGTAAGAGACTGGGCAATAAAGTGAAGCAGCGCTCCCTCTTCTTCACTTCTCTCTTCTTTTCCTGCATTCACCACCCCATTCATTCCGCTTTATACCGCAATTCATTCCTTTGCTCATTACTTATCACATTAGTCATCCACCTCCCACCATACAGTTGTGTGTTAAGATTCTCTTCTGCTGCTTTTTAATGCTGAGTTCTCAATAAATATGTTTTATTGTTACTTTCTACACTACAGTCAGTTCCCCTTACATTGGATTTGAAAGGATCCTGATGCATAACTCGGCTACTTTGGTTTCCTTTAAAAGTGTGAAGAAGCAATGCTCTCGGTTAGAATTAGCCAGACAACTGTTTTTGCTGTGCTCTGTTTCAAGGGTAACTGTTTCCCAATATGAGCTTACTAATGCTGGGGTTGCAGACAAATAAGACAAGGGCAGCATTATTCTGAGCAGTTGCGCGACCCTCCAAATTCTTCCTTGTCACTAAAACAAAAGTCGGATCATTCATCAACGGCACCGGTAGTGCTGAATCGCGCTCTCCTTTATCTGTGCATTGCATGGTCAGAGCACCGCACATACACACACCTGCATACACATATACAGAGTCAGACATACTGGATGGTCTCAAGAGAGTTTCTTTGTAGCCTTGCCCTGTCCTCTAGTTCTCTTGTTTTTTCACACCATATTTTTTACAGTTGTTTTTTGATGAGTTTAAGATCTTTTACTGTTTGTGACCTCCAATCTTTATTTTATGCTTTCTAGCACACTTAAAAGTGTAAAGATTACATAAACTGTGCTTCAGGGTTGAACAAATTTGTTAATTTGTAGAACTTCAATCTAAAAGTAAATTTAATTGTCCTATAAATTAATCAAGCAAAAACGCCTCCCCATTCTCTTTGAGCTCCTCTTATGTCTGTGTAATTTTAATTTGTTTGTGGTTTTGACTGTTATTGTTCTGCTAGTTATAAGATATTTAAAGAAAATTTTATTTTCAGTTGGTTTGAGAAATTGATAATCACATTTTTACGCACCCCGGAAAATGATATTTTGAGATTTTAGCAGTTCTGTGCAGAGAGAGAGATGAAAAAGAAATGTAAACTCAAACCACAGTTTGAAATCATTTTTACTAATCACAAAAAAACTTGTTGGTATTGCAGGCAGGAAAAAAACTGCAAAGTACAGATTTTTATCTCTATCTAAGCTCTCCCACTAACAAAGGGGCGCTGCTGCTGACACATGGTGAAGTGAACAAAGACCGGCATGGATTATTTCATTGTCACAGTATCTGAGCCACCTTGTAAGCTGTCATCGGATCTGTGAGCTGCATCAATTGGCTGTATAAGTGCATTGTACAGATGGAGATAGCTGCTAATTATTATGAAGGAAGGACCAATAGAAACAATTTCACTCACCAAAACTGAAGCATAACTTCTTTTTATCGCCTTACCATAGCAAGTCATATTATTTGTCAGAATATTTCATTAAAATGCTCCAAGAAGCACCAACAGCACAAACACAAATTACCCGAGGTGAGACCTAGCAGGCCCTGTGCTGGACCGGCAACATCCCCAGTGACAGCCCTGTGACAAAGCCTTGAGAGCCTCAAGTGGCCATTTAAAGAACTGCAGTTAAATGCTGGCTTCATTTTTTGTGTTCTCTGGAACTTACTATTATGTTATTTGTGTATAAACAAGCCATGTGTGAACCAGTGTGACTCATTATGTGCATTTCCGTGTGTGCATGCAGTTCAGAGCTGTACTCATTTTGTCTAAGAAAAGACGTTCTTTTGAGATGTTTTGTCTTGGTGTTGCCAGACGGTTTACCAGCCCAGTCTTCAGCTTTGAGAATGGACTACATTACCCCCAAGTGTCCTTAAAGATGAATTATAAAACCCACACAAGATTACGCTCATCAAAAATGAATCTGTTACATCATAGTGCTGCCTACTTAAAAGTAACTCATTGGTTAATATTTTCATCACAAGAAAATGGTATTGCTTTTTCAGAACTTCAGCACCAGCAACATTTTCCTCCTCCAATGTTGTAGATTAATTGAATCTTTTTAAATGGACTCCTGTGAAAAAACTATTCAAATTCAAAAAGCACTTTATTACAGTAGCAGCTATTCTATATGCGTAGCCTGACTGCTTTCATAGGAATTAACAAGGTAAAAAAAAAGAAAAACAAGAGGATAAATAGCAGCCATATGCTGTGTTATTAAAGGCGGCATGTGTGTCAAGTATCAGTAAATATGGCACCTTTATCTAAAAAGGAAAGAGTTTTTGTAGTTTTCTCATATAGAATATTCAGGTGTGTGTGTTAACACAATGACACAATATTCCCAGGAGTGGACATCCCAGTGTCTTCACCCCAAGTTCAGACCAAGCAGTGTTGAAATAAATTGCAGAAAAACCCAGTATCTAAATCTCTGACTCAGTTAGCACGTTAAGAGTTAAAGTTCATAACTGTTTATAACAATTAGAACAAGACTGACTATGTATGGCTTGTTTGGAAGTGTTTCTAGAACACAACCTCTTCCTTCTAAAGACAACATGGAAGCAGGGCTTAGCTTTGCAGAGTTGCATCCATCTTCCTCCTCTCACCCCTACCCGAGCCTGGCTGAGTTCTGCCATAGGTCTCTTCCTGTTAAAAAGGAGTTTTTCCTTCCCACTGTCCACAAGTGCTTGCTCAGTGGGAGTCATCTGATTGTTGGGGTTCCCTCTTTATTACAATTTATAGACATGACTGTTATTATAATGAACATAAGGATTGAACAAAGCTTGAACAGATCTTAGTTTGCAAGATTAGAGGTGTGTACATCAAACAGTTACAATTTTTGTGCCAAAGGGAAGAACTGCTCTGTGATGGGGACGGCACACATGAAAGTAGTCATGCACAGACGTGTGAAATCACTGGGACGATTGCTCTGACACTTAGACTTGTATGAACATATGAACCCGGTGAGAGAACATCCTAACGTCACCCCTTGACTGCAGCCCTGTGTCAGGGTTAACTGCCGTCTGTGTTAACTGTTCATGTCATATCCCCATTAACCTCCATTGTGGCTCCCTAGGCCACCCAGTCCTTGTTTAAGCCTCCCTGGGTGGCAGTCAGTGCTCCAACATTAGCCTCCATTACAGCTCCCCTGGCTGCAGTTGCCCTGTGTAGGGCGTCCACTGATCTTGTATCAGTGAAACTGAGTGTCTGTGCTGCTGAGTTATGGCACACAGTCTAATAGAGCGTGCATGTGAACACAGCTGATGGCTGATATTATTTGCAGCAGTGCAGCAGCTCTGCACGTGTTAAGCATCCATGTCAGTTGTTTTGTGCGCGCCATGCGTTTGGGGTAACCCTCTCTCTCTTTTCTGTAATGGGAGGCATGAACTCTCGCTCTAAACCCATTTCCAGCCCATCTGAAATACGGCAGCAAATTACCTCCAGCGGCGCCCTGCACACTAGCCCAATCCGCCCCAAATAGAAGTGACAGGACAGCGCAATTTATCGCCATAACCCCTGCACCGCCCCACCACCACCCAGAAGCTCCACACACACTGTGGACTCGCACGTACAGATGCCGCACACATACACAGGCCAACCGAGGGACTCCTGAATCTTGAACCTGTGTGCAGAGGCCTGCGATTTTGTGTACTATACATACCATAGTAGGAATGTGTTGTAATTCTGTGTGTGTGTGTGTGTGTGTGTGTGTGTGTGTGTGTGTGTGTGTGTGTGTGTGTGTGTGTGATCTCTACACTCAAGTGTAGGGGCCAACCGTGCTGCTCTGGCCCCCTGCCCTGCCTATTATCTCATTGATTTCCTTCTCTCCTCTTTTCAATTCTCTCCATTTCCACACTACCGTCCTTTCCATTAGAGGAGCAATTTAACAGAGTGCTGTGACATGAGAGAGAGAGAGAGAGAGAGAGAGAGCGAGAGAGGGGGGACTACAGGATGGGAAACATAAAGTGAAGAGAGGGGTTATACTGAGAGAGCTGGGGAGAAAGGATGGGTAAAAGAAAGAGGGTGAGCGGAAAGTCTTCTAGCAGATGGTTTTCGCTCAAAGCAATGCATGAATGAAAATTTTACAGTGTATTAACTGGGCTGAGTGGATAATTCCAAGTAGCAATAAACCAGAATTGGGAGTAATTTGATTTCCTCAGATGTTTCCTTATACCATCTATTCTTCTTTTATTTGAATCCCTCTTTCTCTAAGGAGTTTCCTTCAGAGCCGTCTTCGAGCTCCCCACGACAGACACCCGTCATCCACCCAGCAGTGGAGAGGAAGCAGCATGTGTTGGATTCGTGGGTCCTTATACCGTGTGTCAGCCAATAAGCTGTCCCGCACCGTAGCAGCGAACATGTCCATCAATCGAACAGGTATATGTGTTGTGTGTTCAACAACTTCTGAAGTTCAAAGAGGACTAACAATTCACACAACCACCGTGGAAATTTAAAATGTGCCTGAATGAGCCTGCCTCAGTGTTTTCCTCTCACAAGCAGATGTCAAATACATTTTCCTAATTAAAATATATTTAAAAGAGACTTAATTTCCACCATTGTAATCTGAGTATAACAAGGGCACAAATGTGACCGCTTGCTTCACATTGTATTTAAATTACCAAAAAATGGCTGGGCCAGTATTAGGCACTATGTTCACATTTTCCCCTCAGTCCTTCCTATGCTGAATGACACTGTTGTCTTTTTTTTGATTGGTTGCCACTTGCAAAGAAGGTTATAAGGTTATAACAGGAGATGGGTAAAGCTACTGTTGTTTTGAGAGTGGTCCTCTCCTCAGCCGCTTCTCCTACAGAGACATGGAGGCACGCCCACCCAACCCAAGATATAATCTCCTCAGCATATTCTGGATCTTTCCTCGGGTTCTCTACCAGTTGGACATCCTAAAATGCTTCACGTAGGGGGTGTCTAGGAGGTCTTTCAGTGTGAAGGAGTCCCTCCCAAAGAACCAAGCTCTTCCCCTGATTTCTATGACAGAACCCAGACACCCTTCAGTGTCTGGGGAATGCTCATTTTGTCTGCCTATCTCATTCGTTCAGTCACCGTCTAGAAGATGTGGCCATAGGTGAGGGTAGGAACATAGATTGGCCGGTAAATAAACCGCTTTGTTTCCACACTCAACTCTTCTTGCCTCTCCTCTTCATTTGTTTTCTAGCTGCAGAAAATTTAGTTCTTAAAGTACAACACTTCTCACTGCTATATTCATGGGTTTGGACATATTTCAGTTGACATAAAATTATACAGATTAGATACCCTGCATTTAAGACATTTAGTCCAAGAACATGGCAGTAAGTGTACAGAGAGTGTATATTCACATTTGTGGCTGTAGCACCGTTCACATATCCTCTAACAGACTTAGGGGAACTGGCTGGATTTGCCATCTGAAATAATAAAGTTGTCATCTGTCAGAGAGGTGAGGGGGAGGGCCTGGAGAAGTGAATGGGGGAGATTAAAGCCTGGATCTGCCTCCACTTTCTTCCTGCTTCTCTACCTCTCTTTTACACATTCTGCTGTGACTAAAGCTGCAGGTGAAATTGAGAAGCTCCAATCAGTTCAGCTCGTGACCAGCATCACAACACAAATTCCTGCATCTAGAGACACGTCTCGGGTGTCTTCCAAGTAGGAGTTGTGATTTCACATCTTTGTAGCAAGCTTCATATTTGTTCTTGGTACAGAGCCTCCGGACTGTAATCCAGAACACACGCTTCACAAGAGACTTAACAGCCAGAAAAATGCCAAATTTAGAGGTCTGAGTAAGATTAACTGCCGTTTGTAACCACACCCGGCCCATCTCCTTGTCGTCTTATTCATTCCTCATTTTCCTACACTATTTGTGGCGTGCATTGGGTACATAGTGTTTGTAATATTCTCAGACAGAGCTGGATGACGCATTTGGATTTGGCACTAATGCGTCAAACCACCCGAGTATAAATAACCAGTCACATATTTAGTTTTTATTGCTTCTGGCTATGCAAAAGCACATACAGATAGCTTCCTTTCTGTCATATCTATTGTAGATACTTTGAATACTTTAAAATTACCTTAAAATTGTTAAATTTAATGCAAGACTTAACATCAGAACAAAGCATTTTATAGAATTATAGTAAACAAAACCAAAAGCTACCCTTAAATCTTCATTTATATATGTGCTGATGTATTTATAACTAGGACGACTAATTGCTTGTAGATGGTAGACATGAAGAGAAATGGATTAGAGACAATCTTGAAGGAAGAATATGTGAATATTGTTGTGGAGGTGAAGCATGTCAGACAAGATCATGAGTTTGAAAGGGTAATGTTGAATGTTGCCACTGCATTGGCACCACAGATTAGATGTCAGTCAGAAGAGAGAAAGGAATTCTAGAGTAAGTTGGATGAAGTGGGAGCGAGTGGTGATTGGAGCAGACTTTAATGGACATAAAGGTTCAGGAAGGAGTTGAAACTGACTCTGGATGGTAGGGAAGACTTACCAGATAGAAAAAGATGGAAATGTGTTAACAAGTGAAGAGAGGTTATTGAAAAATGGAAGGAATGCTTTGAGGAGCTGATGCATGACTAAAATGACAGTGAAGAGGGTGGCTTTTCAACAACAAGGGTGATGTGGAGAACTGTGGTAACTACAGAGTAAAAGGAGTTGCATTATGTCGTTGTGGCTCTCGAGATATGATAGGGTACCAAGACAGGAACTGTCGTACTGAACGAGGAAGTCGGGAGTAGCAGAGATGTATGTGAGGCTAATGCAGGACATGTATGAGGACAGTGAGACAGTGATTAGGAAGGACAGATGGGTTCAAAGTGGGGTTTGATTATATCATGTTCCAAGTCCCTTCTTGATTGTTGGGGTGATGGACAGGTCAACCACTGTGATCAGACAGGAGTCTCTGTGGACTATGATAATTACAGATGACACTGTGGTCTGTAGTGAGATTAGGGAGCAGGTGGAAGGTGTTGGTGTGACCAAATAGAATGCTAGTGATGGGGTGAGATGGAGTGAGATGATTCACTGTGGTGACCCCTAAAGGGAGCAGTTGAAAGAAGATAATGATGACAATAGATTTCTTTTAGATAAAAGTGATGTTTACACCTTTTTTTCAGTTTCTAATCAGTTTGTGTGAAAGCATTTTTTAAACAGCCAGATGTTTTTGGATTTTACATTACATTTTTATGTAAACGATTTGATGCTGAATTCAGTTATATTAGGTGGGGAAGTGTGGTTAAATCTATACATTTTTAGATTCAAATAATGGCAGGGATTTATATATTGTTCATATATAAGCAATTCCTGCATCTGACAACTATAATAAAGCCATGTTCTTCCTGCCCCCACGTGAGTTCTCTCCAGGGACTCTGGCTTTCTCTAACAGTTACTTTTTCACATGGGTCCAGGTAGTTTTTATCCTCCTAATAAATAAATCCTAAATCATCATTTAAAAACTGCATTTTGTCATTACATGTTTTTTGTTTGTCTAATGTTAAAAATTAAAGTGTGATAAACATGCAAATTAATAAGAAATCAAGGTGGGGGAAATGCTTTTTCGCAGCACTGTAGGCTTTCTTTAAATCACTCATTTGTCTCTTTCCTCCACATCTAGGAAGGTCCTCATGCTTCCAGGTCTCCCACATGGTTCCCGCCATGGCCAAATCCTCCAGCACTCGTCACTTAGCCAGGTAGTGCTGATAGCTCCCATCTCTAACCATCAGACACACATATACAGAAATGGGCATGTATGCAAACCATCCTGTTTACTCGAAATCTTATTCAGCTAGGGCTTTTGCGATTGAGCCTCTGCACGCTCTCTCTGCACTAATATTAGTTGCTTTTCATGACTGTCAACTAAGAAATGAAGCCTGAAGTCATCTTGTAATATTAAAATTGTATATTAAAATTGGTATATAAGTACCTTTACCCAGAAATCATCGCAGGGTGTTAGCTGCGAGTTTAATCCTAACCTAGTTTGTTATTTAGTTACTACCAGCTGGTTATTACTTACTGTGGTTTGTGTGTGTTTCATAAATTCAGCCGTGCAGTCCAGCGGAGTCTTGCCATCATTCGCCACGCTCGTCAGAAGCAGCGGCAAAAGCAGTACTGCATGTACTACAACCGCTTTGGCAAATGTAACCGTGGAACCAGTTGCCCCTTCATACACGACCCAGACAAAGTGGCGGTCTGCACCAGGTGACTCAAACACACACTGACATCCAGGCTATAGAAATTAAATGCAAGGTAAAGTTGTGAATTACTCGCTCTGACCTTACAAATATCGTGGAGACTCGAGCACAGTATGGGAGGATGACCACACAGTCACTGCAAGAGAACAGCATGACTCAACAGCAACTTGATTTTTGTGCATCGTTTGTTGAGTGTTTTTTGGTTGAATTTGGGTGTTTAGAGGCTTTGACGAAGCAGGTTCAGCTTTAAGTTTGTAGAGTTTATTGCTTTGTATACTGTGGATCGTGTGTCTTTTTTTAAATGAATGAGTCCCTGCTGTAATTGGCATCTATCTTTCAGCTTTTAGCTGTGTCCATAGTGAGTATCTTTCCCTCTGCACCATCTTCTGAGCATTTCACTGGACAAGTTTACTAAATATACTCCATAGAGAAACAGCATATATCACATAGAGATGATGTCGTTTGCTCGTATGTGCATCTTTTACATGGACACTGCAGTAGAAATAAGAGACTTTTGGTTGGATTGTGAGACGTCCATCAAATGATTCCTGTTTCCTTTATTATTACTGGTTAACTTGATTGTCAGCTGTGAGACAAGAGCAACCAGGGATCTCATGGTAGAAATAAATTTGTTCTGATCAAAACTGTAGTCAACAATAAAAACAAGCCTGTTCACCAATTCACCAATAATTTCAAACAACATTGTTTTTGCATTATCTGCAGGTTTCTGAGAGGGACATGCAAGCAGGCAGATGGTACCTGTCCGTTCTCCCACAAGGTGGCAAAGGAGAAGGTGACGCATGCACACACACATGCACACACACATGCACACACCAACACACACGCTCACTCATACTGGACAACATAATTTATAGCATTTCACTGCAAAGGGTTGGGTACAGTGTGAAACTATACGATGACACATTTTTGGTTACAGTCATCATGGATCGTATTTACACTCTTGGCATGCCTCCTGTTTCCATGGCACTGACAGGAGTGAGGAAAACCTGACCTGATTGTGGGGCGGAGTAGGGGTGGGGGGTCATGACTAAACAAGCAGCTTAAATGTTAGATGTACAACCTGTTCAACTGTTCCATCTGCAAACCAGCTCCTATCTTGGAAATCTGTGAGGGGCTGTCATGGTTTTAGTTGGATTATTGGTTTTCTCTAATGTGAGAGTGAATTGCAGTTTGTAACAGGAGAAAAACGGAACTACCCTGCAGGGGGGTTATGTGAGTGGTTTGATGGGTATTAGCTGGACTGATTAAAGTGATAAATGTGTTTGAAATTTTTTTTTACCACAGGTTGAGTTTGGCCAAATCTGGTGGTCTTTTTTTTTTTTTTTTTATCTGATCTTTTAGGAGGAAAAACAGCAACTTTATCTACTAACTACTGTGAACAGATAAAGGTTTTGCATCATATCTTCAGTACATCTCAAATTGCGGGGAAAAAAAAAATATTGGAGACATTATCTTGATTTTCTCTTGAAAATATTACACACCAATCTGGATCCACAAACACAATTCATCTGTCGTTTGGAGGATATTGTCACCATGGCAAAGATGTGCAGTATATCGGGTGGCTGTAGCTCAGGTGGCAGAGCAGGTCAGCCACTAATCAGAAGGTCGGTGGTTCGATCCCAGGCTGCCTCCTGGCTATTGACAGGAGGCCCAAATATCCTTGGGCAAGATACTAACCCCATGTTTGCCTACTGGTGGTGGTCAGAGGGCCCGGTGGCGCCAGTGTCCGGCAGCCTCGCCTCTGTCAGTGCGCCCCAGGGCAGCTGTGGCTACAATGTAGCTGCCATCACCAGTGTGTGAATGTGTGTGTGAATGGGTGAATGACTGAATGTAGTGTGAAGCGCTTTGGGGCCTTTACGGACTAGAAAAGTGCTATACAAATGCAGGCCATATATGAATGTTCTTGTAGCCGGTTTAAAAGAAAAATATACATTTTATTTGTTCACCAACACCAAACAGGGAAAGTGTTGAAACTAAAAAAGGGAAAGCTTTTTTTCCTCTCTCTTTGAGACAAGTAGCCCTCCAACAGGTGCTCTGCTGCCTCACCCTTCACACACACAAAGCTCTGCGCACATGTGTGTTGTCACACCGCTGCCTGTAAGTGCTGAGAGCCCAGCTGTCTATTTGTAATGCCAGTTTCCCCCACACCCAGACCCCCACCCTTGGCCCCTCCCTTCATGGGATACACCCGCTCTGATTTCATGCAGTTTCCTTAAGCAGGACTGTATGTGGACAGAAAGGGGGTGCAGGCTTATGCAGCTAGCACCCCTCCGAACTTGATCCAGGCACTAGTGTAGAATCCCAATTCCTGCACCCCACCGTCCAGTCTCCCCATTACCACAAATACTTCGAAACCAAATACCCCTGAACCAACTCCACCTGGCATGGCCCCCTAACAACCATCTCGCTCACCACTTGCTCTCCACCCTTGGCTCAGTCTGCGCACACATCCAGTTCACATAAACAAATCATGAGAGCTGGACGAGCTTCAGCCTGGATAAATATTTCTGTAGCAGTTAATTAGGTAGAACTGATCCTATCTCAACGAGGTGGAGTCCCTCTCACAATCCGCCTCCTCTCTCATCTTTCTTCACTGAATCCCCCTCAGAGGTATATTTAGACCGGTCACCACCAGGCTCACCCCTGCACCCAAATCAGTCGATCTCTCTGCACACATGCTGTCAAGACACACATTCACTCTTGCTCCGCTGCTGTCAACTGCAATTAAGGTCATTTAGCTGCTCGGTGTGACAGATCACTTGGCACACGGGACACGTCTAGTGGTGGTTTTTAGAACTGCATGTCTGTTTATAAAGTTGTATAATCTCATGTCACCTCATCACCCCTGCAATCTTCCTCTCTGTGATGATGGTTTTACATAAAACACTGCTGTGAAATTATGTATTGTCATTGGGTTCTCTAATTCATAAACCATCCTCCACACTTTACTTTCTGCTTGTATGTACTAAGCACTTTGAACATTTGTCAGGTTCACATGGTATACACGCACATGTCTGTCTCTTCCCAGATGCCGGTGTGTTCCTACTTCCTGAAGGGCATCTGTAACAACAGTGACTGTCCCTACAGTCATGTCTACGTGTCCCGCAAAGCTGAAGTGTGCCAAGACTTTGTAAAAGGTTACTGTCCTGAGGGAGAGAAGGTAAAAACTCAAACAAATGCACAAAAACATTTTTAATTTGTTAAAGGGCATTAGATTTTACAGACTCTATGCCACAGTTTGTTTATGATCGCAGCAGGTTCTATCATGATAGTGTGTTGTAATCTATAGATTTTACACAGAGCTTTTTAAACCCATGTCCACATGGTGTAGGTCTCTGCTGCACACTGCACATGGAGCAGCATCACAAATGTGTAAAACAACATAATTTGCACTTGTGCTGTTCATTAGTCCCTGCAGTCGAAATGACAGAAGTCAAAATAGACAAAAAGCTTCTTTCGGAGTGAAAATGAGTGTTTAAAAACTCCTCACTCCAGCCACCATGTATGCTTTTGGGATCTCTGATGTTTTTTGTCAATGTGTCACTTTCTTCACGGTGAACTTGGCTGTTTCTCTTTTCTGTTTAAGCTAATTTTTGAATTAAGTAATCAGAATTGAGTCTGGATTTGGCGTTACTGCCATCATTCTGCTTTTTGCATTCAGACTACACTGATAGAATTTGCTCAGTGGGTAAGCATGGATTCATGCTGAGTTAACTTCTCAAATTTAGATGTGAAGGTGACGTCTGTTTTAAAGCCATGACTGCCTGACCAGATTTAGCTAGGAAAACAACATCCATGAATGTCCGGTGCTTGGGGGTTATTTCCTGTCACTTTTGTACTTTCTCACTCTTCATTGGTTGAGCTGGATGTTGTAGGGACACCTTTTGGCCGGTTATCAGTGCAGGTGAGATTAGAGACACGTGCAATGATCAGTTGAAACTCACAGGTTTAACGTGGATCACGGTTAAACCTGTGAGTTTGGCTCTAAATTTGGTTTCAGTCCTGCACTGACGCTGTGATCTGATTTCAGAGTTCTTTCTTTAAGCTGTGCTCCTCAATTTGAGCATACGGATTATATAACATGTATAAAGTTTCCCTGAACTTAAGGCATAGGTAAACAAGTGGTTCCACCCCCACCCCTGAACACACACACAGAAACGCACATGTACACACTGACACACAGGCAGGAACAGCTGCAGGGGGTGGTGGTCCATAATGGCATAACTGTAGTGTCTGAGTGACACATTGAGGGTCTGATGGGTAAGAAAACCACTTCCACTGAACTCACGATCCTTAAGTCACCACACGCACTTGCTGCCCGCGTGTCAACCTCAAACACACCCTCCACTCCTGCCCCCACCCCACCACCTCCCACCCCACCCTTGTGTTTTTGCATCCATCTCTGGCTCCCTTCTCTTCGTTGTGCTTATTTTTGAGTGTGAAACAGATGCTTTTTCACACTGTCAGACCTCATTTAAATATTGCATGGGGAAATGAGGATATAGAAAACAAAAGGGATATTAATATTTATTCTATTAGCTGAAGTGCTTAGGTCTGTGATTTTCCCCTGTGTGTGTTTGTGCCTGAGTGCGTGTGTGTGTGTTTATAGAGCGGTGCGCTGCGATGCTCTGGCGGCTCTATGATGGATAGCAGGCAGTAATTATAGATGGGAAAACTGCTGAGGATGGCACTATGGGCCAGGCAGGCAGACACTTCAGCATCTCAGGGGTTAAGTCTGCTCCTGTCCTCCATCCTCCATCCTCCTCCCCCTTCCTCATCCTTCTCCTCGTAGACCCACTACCATCCTGTATCATCCCAGTGTTGTCTCATGTGCACCCCCTTTGCAGCTCTTTCTCTGCTTTCCTAAATTTCTCCACTGCATCTTACTCCCTGAATTAAATTTTTAGTTGGCTGTAGCTCCTTCATGAGGTCTATCTTCTTCCAGGTTTCGTAACACATGAAACTCACAGTCACCTGTGATTGTTGGCCGTGGCCAGTCATCCATAGTTTTTGGAAGATTGGCTAAATAGTTGGCTTTCATAGGCTCTTCTCTGCTTCAGGTGGTTGAAACAGCATCTGAGCCAGTGTGCAGCAGAGAGCTGTCTGAGCTGCTGTTTGGCCTCATGATAACGAAAGTGAATTGAGCCTTTTTATATGCACCTTCTTCCCACCAGCGGGGGAAAAACTGTATATACACTATTGGTTTGCTCTCACCTTCAGTCTTTCCTTGTCTGTTCAAGTGAAAATAAAAATAAATATAGGAGATAAAGAGGAAAACAGAGAAAAAGTAGATATAAAATGTAGAAAATGATGAAAAAGTTAAGGGAACAAGCCCATAAAGATGAACGAACATAACTGATTTGACTTTGGTTACCAGTCAGGATCATGTTCTGTCTGTCCTCTCTGAATTCATCATTCAGGATGAGATTGTTGATACAGAGTTCCTCTGTTCAATGATAAAACATCTTGAAGTTTGCTGTGTGTCAGCACACCTGGGTATGGGCCAGGACAGAGCCCAGTGAAAATACTAATCTCTAACATTATTTGGCTACTGGAAAACAGACTTTGCTCAAAAACTGCTCGAGGTTCAGTTTTCTTTTGTAGTTTGCTGCAAGACTTCATGTGGTTTGTTACTAATCTGCTACACAGAACCTGACTGAGTCCATCTTAATAACTCAATAACTCAAAATGTTAGAAATATTCCAGTGTTAGAAAATCAGCACTGCTCAGGGTTAGCCATTGTTAATCTTCAAAACTGACTAGGTTACTTTTAAACATATAACACTGTCAACAGTGTTAATTTAACACTCAACAGTGTTGTGTTTAACACTCAGAGGAGTGGACCCATATAGACACTCTCTAGTGTTAATTTAACACTGGAGATTTTGCTGTGTAGAGGTATATCCAGGGTCAACACTTCGGTTTGAGCTCCTTGATGCACGGCCTGAGAGAAAGTTGGTTTAGTGTGTGTATTTGGGCCCTATGCAGCTGCTTTAGAGAGCACAGCCTCTCTCACTGTGCGTTGTCTGTCTTGGGCTTCTAGTGGCGATGTTGTGTTGGTCTTTGAAATTGGGCCACGCTCCAAACTTTAACAACCCATTTTTTCTTGTACTGTGATATCCTGAATTTTGTTTTTCGTTAGTAAAAACTCAAAGGTTTGTCTTGATGCAGTTGTGCTGTTTATATAGTTTATACGGAGATAAGTTCTGGTCTTGGAGGACTCGCTTGAATTTCACATCCTTGCCAAATCCTGACACCAAGTGACCAGATATTCCTAAAGATGTCGGAGCAGCTTTTATTTCCTCCTATCTAAATGATCATTTTGTAAATTAGTGAGCATCAAGAATGTTTGCTGTACATAAACGATAAACTAATCACAGGCAAAAGGATCTTAGAATTGTTCCCAACAAGTGAAGCCAGGTTCCCTTTTTATTGCTAAAATTCGATGCAACAGGAGCGCTTTGCTCGTTCGTAAACCTAAGAATTCTGCATCGGCACTCGCACTGCATTATTGAAATAAATTAGGAGGATAGTAATGTCGATCTGATCACAGCCTGAAGTGTAGCGACATGGTAAATTCCTCCTTTTTCTCCCTTTTTCAGTTTGTAATCTTAGTAATATGTCAACCTGTGCTCAATTATTGTTCTCTTCCATTCACTGTAAGTTGCTCTCAACGATTGTTGGCTTAATGCCCAAGTTGTAAATGCATATGATATCCTCTTTTTTCATTTTACTGTCTTTTCCATCTCCCACCCTCCCTCCCTTCTTCTCTTTCTTGCTTCTTTTGCGCCTTCTTTCAGTCTCTTGGTAAATGTGCTGACTCTTCCTGGTTTTGGCCCAGCAGAGAGCTCTCTAATAGGCCCCAGAGACATCCCAGCATTCCTTAAATCAAGTGGAAAATTGTTAACTTGGTGTGGGATAAAGATGTTCTGTCCACTTTAGCTCTTTTCTCCCATTTCGTCTCTTACTCTCTCTCTCTCTTTCTTTCTCGCTCTTTCTGTCTTTTTATGAAAATGAGGATGTATGGAGCTTCAGGAAAGACGAGTGAGCTTTTAGAGTCCATTTCTCTGACACTTTGTTTCAATACAACTACCTCCCTGTTTTAACTCTTCAGTTTTAACACAGCCTAGTCCTGAGGACTCTGTCCTCTTTCTAAATTGATAGATACGTGGCAGTTTTAAGAACTTTGATAATAGGGTTGCGAGCACATGCTGGGAGAAGTTGATGTATGTGACAGAGACATGATCCTTTTATCACATACATTGTGTATTTAGATGTGCAGAGTGTGCAGAGTTTCCCGTCTCTGCATAGCTGTCTGTCAGTTGTCAGGACTGATCCTAGCTTTCTTCCAAATTGTTTTATATAAGCAATATGACAGAAAGTTAGAAGGCAATGTAAAATGTAAAACACAACACAATGCTATAATCCAAAAATCATTAAAGTCCTGTTTTTCATTCTAACTGATGAAAAAAACAATACATCAATTTGATAAAAAATTGAATTATTTTTGAAAAATATAATATATTTCAAATATGAGACCAGCAACACATTTTTTAAAAAAACATGCGAGCAAAGGGAAAACAAAAGAAAACCAGTTATCCCTTTGCACAACTGGTTATTGTATAATTATTTTCTGTCCATCCGTCTATTTTCTCCCTCTTATTCACTGCAGTCGCAGTGGTGCTGGAGCCATCCCAGCTGTTACAGGGCAAGAAGCAGGGTACATCCTTGAGAGGTCACTAGTCTGTGGCAGGCCTAGAGTATTGAGACAGACAAGCATTCACACTCACACCTAGAGCCAATTTAGAATCACCATTCAACCTAACATGCATGTCTTCAGACTATTGGAGGAAACCGGAGTACTTGGAGAGAATCCACGCTGGCACAGGGAGACCCTTGTCCTGCCCAGGACCCTTTGATTGTAAGGCAACAGTGCTAGCCGCTGTGCCACCCTGTGTAATTATCAAAAGGAAAATATCAAATGTAATTCAGATTAGTGGGTAACAGTTCAAAGCTTTGAACTGTCACCCCTTGAAAACATTTAGTAACTTGCCAAATTAAAAACATCATGAAGCAAGCTCTGAAATGTTGAGACACTGTAGTCTTTAAAAGAGGAGATGCAGCGCAGTAGTAAATATGTCCATGTTTCAACTTTTTTTTCAAACCTCTTTTTAGCATCTAAAACAAATGGAGCGCATTGATTTTTTTTTTTTTTTTAAATACAATTTATAGTTTTGACATTAGACATTAGATTTGTTCTTTCTGTAAATGCAAATCATTTCATTTTGTTTTTATTTACATTTTAAATAGTGTTAGAACAGCACTGAGCACTTTATCCGCTACCAAACTTTCTGAAAAATATTTGCTCCAATTTGATGTCACAAGACTCATCCATTATCAATGTTGAACTGAAAACATGACCTTTATTTGTGTTAGGTAACTTTTGTCTCTTATAAACCAACTGTTTGCCAAATAGTGACAATTATATTTGTTTTGGGACTAATAAAGTCTTTTAAAAACACAAATAGTATGCTTAAAAAAGTGCATAACAATGTGCTTTTTGCAGCTACCATCTGCTTTAAGTTTTTATAAAGCAGAGACTTGTTAAATTTGGAGAGCATTAAAGCAAGTCTGTGATTAGTCAGGCAGTTTACCTGCTCGGTTCATGCTCAGCTTAATGCACAGCATCGCTACAAACAAAGCTGTGGAAGTGTAAGAGAAGTTTGTGGTTTTGCAAGGCTTGTGAAGACTTGCCAGTGTTTCCGTCCATTTTGGTAATTTACGTCAAGTGAAAATGCAAAAGAAAATCTGTCAAAGTCTGAAAATCTAGTGATTTGTATTTTATAGTAGTATAACTTGAATCTCTTTATGATTGCAGAATTGTTTCAGTACCAGTAAAAATGAGCTGAATCTATTAAAATGATGCCTTGTGGTACATCATAACAGGAGACCTGTTAGGTTTCATGGTGGCGTCATGCACCAAATGGGAATCGTCATTATGGGCCCCAGTAGAGGACCTGATTAGTTTAGAGAAGTGTGACAAAACCGCAGCCCTATAAGATGATCCAGGGAAACATTTGACAGCAAGCTGATCCTGGGCCGTCCTGGCACCAAGGGGTGCAGGAACATCAGTGTGAGGATGGTGAGAGGAGCTCTGATGGCAGCAAGTCAGGGCCACTGGGCTCCAGAGAGAGTTGACCAAGAGTCCACAGTGTTCTTGGAAAATCGATCCTGAGATCCCTCACCCCTACACACACACAGACACACCAACCCTTGGTACACGCTATTTCTGGTGTGCTTCCCAGTCCTGCACTCGTCATCCCTCCACAGATGCGCACAAACACACATGCGCGCGCTCCCTGCAGCCTGTACCCCAGAGTGAATATAATTAGCTTTTCTGACAGGTGGGAGGGATCGGATCTCGTGGAGAATGAAGCTACCAATTTACACCCGTATTACACTGTCATACACACTCACTTGCAAACATGCATCGCTCTCTCTTGCACACTACTCCCCAGAATGACCCACTTTCTCAGCTTGCATGTAAAAAGAGACGGGTGGCACAGACATAGTCTCTTTAAAAGAGGTAACTTACAAAGGAGGGTCATATAAAGCACCTAATCAGGAGGTGGGCCTCACTTTTACCACTTAAAATCCTGTCATAGGCCTGTTCAGTATATGTGAAATCAGCTGACTACTCAGAAATGGATTTCTGTCTTTTACGGTTTCCTTTCAGATCTTAAGATTGAGCCATTAAAATGACTAAAATGCTGTGCGGGTCTTCATGAAGCAGTCTTTAATTACATCTCAAATAAAGTGTCATCTCTTACTGTGTTTTTATACTGGTGCTGATAGTAACTTCAATACCACTACACATACAGAACAGTGTTGTTTAATATTCCAAGCTGCCAAAACCGAGTTTCATAATGTTCTAGATTAGTAAAATTTTGTATCACATCATGAAGAAAAATAAACTATGGTCAGAAATTCATTACCATCCTCCAATAAGTGAAAGTCTTTGATACTTAAACTATACCAGTCTGCCCCTTTATTTATGCCACCTGCCTGAAATTGTGCAAGTCCCTCGCATGCTGCCAGAAAGCAAACTGACTTGTTGGGCATTGACCCCTGAAATCTTTGAGGGGTCCTGTGGTTTCTGGCACCAGTAACATAGGAGCAGATCTCTGGGAGGACTGCGTGGTGTGTGTGGTTCCTGGATTTGAGATTTTTTGGGTGTAGAGTGTTTCTCTAAGAGACTTGAACCTGAGGAGTTAGAACGTGTGGCCCATCCCAGACAAACTCAAAACAAAAACACCCCCTTAAATAAGTGGTTGCATTATGCAGTACAATCTCAAGATTGATGACTGTAGTGACAAGCATGACAGTAGTCAGCGTAATATGAATATTTAACATGTCTCTTATGTGGACAGACAGACTTAAACAAATAAAGGTACACTAGGTCACATGTTTTATAGATGTTAGACATTAATCCACTCATATTGACCATATTTGTGATGACACAAGTTGTCACTTTCTTCATGTCTGCAGTGAAACTACAAACCTGATTGTGTGTGTGTTTTATTATCACCAGTGTAAGAAGAAACACACTCTAGTGTGTCCAGACTTCTCTAAGACGGGCTCCTGCCCACATGGCTCACGCTGTAAGTTGCAGCACCGCCAACGAGTCAAACGCCGCGCCAGCAACAGTGTGACCCCTCCAGCTAAGAAAGCACGCACCAAGGATCCTCTGAAGAGGTCTAAAATTTAAATCGATCTTTATCATGACTTGTAAAACTTTGGTCATGTGACTAATTATGTTATGTTTTGTTTTGTTGGCTTTTCCCCCCCTTCTGTCAGACCCCATCTGTCTGTTGTGATGCCACAGGATTCTCAAGCATCACTGGGGATGCCCTCCACAGGTTCGTTGGTGCTGCCCTCATTTATCTCCCTCTCCAGCTCTCCAGAGGAGGCAGATGCACCAGACACGCTTCCTACTGATGCAGTGCAAGTCAAAGGTATAAGCATCAACAACAAAACCCAGAGAGCAATGGTCACATAAGTTAACATAGTGCACTGTATGGACAAAAAATACCGGGTTACCTTCATATTACAACTACAGGAGCTGCTCAGCCAAAGAAACAGATGTCACGAATCCCTCAGTTCAGTTTTTGTCGTTTGTAGTTATTAAATCAGCAGAGAGTCAGTGACTTTTACAACTCAGCACTCTGAAACCCCGCTCTGTAACTTTACGTAGTGTTAGACTTCCTGTGGTTCATTAACACTTCACAATTAAACTGCTTACAGCTGATCGTGAGATATCTTGGAGAGAAGACATGTCATGACCTGACTTGTTGCAATGGTGGCACCCTATTACAGTATCAGAACAACCTGTTCTTTCACAAATGTTTGTAAGGGCAGACTGCGTGGCTAGGTGCTTGATTTTATACACCTGTGGCAATGGGACTCAATTCAACGAACACCTGAATTCAAACATTAAGAGGTTTGGTAGAGAAACACATACAGTCTGACTGATGATTATTGAGAAGCCAGAAGGGACAAGAATAACCTTCTGGCTCTAATAATGCAGTCATTGCTGCATTATTTTTGCTTATTTGCTTTTTATACAGTAGCAAAGATTTTGCACTATAAATTAATGAGTAAAGGTGCATAGGTCTCAGTAAGCACTTAAGTCTTTTTTTTTTTAGACAGTTGGACGCAGTTTTTGGAATTTTGTCTCTGTATACCACCTTGATTGTTTTTCGTCAAATAATTAAGATGCAGTTGAATTGCAGTCCCTAGTTCCAGAGGTTCAATTGTAACTGAATAACTGATGGACAAACAGTTTCATGGAGTCCTATTCTGTCATTATCTCGTGGCAAACTGAGCAGATTAAATATCTGGAATTTAGGGAGGTGCTTATTGTCTTTCCCCTCACTTAGCGTTAAACTGCTGCAGTGCAAGCTGGAGGTCACCACCTCATGAAGCTAATCAGAATCAGCATATTTTATTAATCCCTAAGAAAATTATTTGGGTTACAAAGAACCATATCAACTATAAAAAGCAGAGGCCATCAGAGATAAAGTCTACCACCTGGCTATGCAGGGCTCTAGACTAACCTTTTGCCACGTTTGCACTGGCGCACCAGTACAAAAGTTAGGCGCACCCGAATTTTTAACCCGCATCACTTAACACCGCAGTTTTACATGTGCACTTTTTAAGGGGGGAAACTGCTGTCCATACAGACAATATTGATTTGTAAAGGATTAACTAACAATCTTGTCAACACAAAGTTCTTTATTTGGAGCACAGCTCTACAAGAAAGATAAGTTACTGAAAAAGTGCTTGTGCTTAAAGTGTTTTGGCATTCTTTGACAATATTGTAGGCAATGTTAAATTTAATCATCACATCGGCCTCCTGTTACGACCTGTTTGGTGATTCGATTCAATTTTGCCTCAGACAGTCATAAGTATTATATTTCTGATCATCTATCAGTACTGACACTGTGAGACTTCATCAGAGGTGTGAGCATCACAGCAGATGCCTTTGTGTCAAAGTAACTGAGGATAAAACAGAAAAACATGAATCAGATTTTCCTGGCCTGGCTTTTTATAGCAGATAACCTTAAAAATATTCTGCAATTTTGCATAATTTTAAAAAGTATAAATTTCTTCAGTATTGAACAGCAGAAATTAGGCTCTCTTGCACGAGGTTATTTGAGTTCTAAAAATATATATATAGACTGCGGCCGACAGCGCTGTAAACAACGGTAGACTGGTGTGTAATAAGCGAATGAATAATGCTGTTTTGCTTCATGGTGGAAGCAAAACAGCAGAAGTCAGAGGGAATTAATGACGACATTTATCAAATGTGAAGCACAGTTCGGATCTTCTTTTGCTGCTGGTTCAGTGAATTTTGGTTGGAGAGAGACAAAACCTGCAGCTCAGAATCTAGCGCAAAAAAGATGTAAACGCAAAGCCGACACATCAGAATCAGTGAGCTGTCGGCTTCCAGCCCCAAGGGCGTGTACGTGTACGTGCCATTGGGTGAGAAAACCGAGAAAGAGAAAGCTGATTCTGATGCGTCAGGTCCGCGCTCTGTGTTTACGTCTTTGTGCAGAATCTGCTTACCTGCTCTCATTTGCTGTTTGGTGGTTGTTGAAATAGTTTTGTGAGCGTTTCTGGCAAAATACATTAATATTTAAAAGTCGATTCAGGATTTAATGAATTGATATCGCTTTATTCAAGCTACTCATCTCCCTCTATCCACCTGCACTTTCTAACGTACACACAAAGGACTACAGAAATATCTGGACCACGGCCAATCAGAGAGGTCCCGCCGCTGACTATCTCTGATTGGTTTAGACCACGATAGAGGCATAATGTGTGTATGTTGTTGACCACACGGAGACTCGAACAGCTGTTGGTTGCACCGGTGCAACCTAGAATTTTTGTTAGTCGCACCATTGAAAAATTTGGTGGAATTTGTGATCAAATTGGTCGGACTCTAGAGCCCTGCTATTCCTAGATATTCTGCCAGTTAAAAATTCTGAACAGATTCAATGAAAAGGGGCAGCCTTAATGGAGTCCAAAACCCACTGGAAAGGAGTCCGACTCACTGCGGCTGTACAGGGGCCAAATGGTGCTTTATAACAAGCCAGATACACCATACTGCCGAAGTGCCTCCAGCGGATACTGCGATGTCCAAGTCAGTAAGATATATGTAGACTGTGCAAAGTCTCCTCAAAAGGATAAAGAGCTTGTCCAATGTCCAAAAACCCCTCATTGTTCCTCCTAAATCTGAGGTTCAACTAAAGGATGGACTGTCCTCTTGAACAGGGAAGCCATCATTCAAATCTGCTAATCCAGAGGCACCGCCTTAGATTTGTATGCAACGTTGCAGAGACATGTTATAGAAGACAGCCTCACAACATCCAGTGTCTTAGGGAATTGAGGGCGAATCTCATATACCTTCAGTTGAAGTCAGCCCCACTGTATACAGTGTGATTAGAGTGCTGCTTTTCACTCCTGACTCGTCTGACAGTTTGCCAGAATCACTTTGAGGTCAATCGAAAGCCTCGTTCCATTGAAGTTTTTGCTTAAGGTACTTCCAGAGCAGCCGCCCCCTTATCCTACCAGTACCTATTAGTTGCTTCTGGAGTCCCGCAGGCAAACAAAGTTCAATCACATATCGTTTGAAAAGCAAGGTGGTGTACAGAGGCAAAACTGCAAAATGTGCCATCGTCCAAATACTTCTGATCCCATCTTTATGACCTATCTGAACTCAAAGCTTCTACACACTGGTGTCCTGAATTGTCTTTTATTAATAGTTGTCCAGTCATGTTCTGCTACAGTGATGTGCACACAATAATGTTTCATTCAATGTTGTGGGGATCAACGTTTTTCCACTTGTAGATAATCTGGTAGATTTTTTTTACAACCATAGATTCTGAGAGTCATTGTTACTTCATATCTCCAAATGTGGTAGAATGTTTAAATTAGCAGTCATGGCAAAAGGTAAGGTGTCATAGAATATTCCTTAAGAGGACTAACTGCGATTCATTTGGTGTAAAAGTGCTGACATAGAGGTGTATTGTCCACAGATGCTTTGTAGGAGGTTCTTTTTTGTCATGAATACATCCTTGCTTAATTCGTGGGACTGGGGAGTGGTGGTCTGTCTGAGCTGTAGACAGATAATAATGATCAGGAGGTGAGCTTTAGAGTGTGTCTGGTGACGCTCAGTGGAGGAGTAATAATGCTCAGAGGACAGAGGTAATAATATTTCAGTTTATGGCTGGATGGCACAGCTGAGCTCTCTGTTGACAGACTTGAAAGATAGTGGATTAGGACAGAGGCCATCCCATCCCCCTCCCTTGCTTTCACCAGGCTTCACCCATCCACCTGCCCCTGCCTGCTAAACATACACACACTCACCAACTGGTTGTCACTTCCAGTGCAGCATTTGTTTGCATCTAACATCTGTGTTCACCCTGTTTGACCACACATTCCACAAATCTATCTTTTCACATAGTTTGTGTTATGATTTCACTAATTTTGTCTGATGATTTAAACAAGTAAAAGGCAATGGATAATTAAGAGTGACGGCAAAAATGACTGAAATTAGAATTGGACAGTTGGATAGTCCCCTTTCTCTAAGTATCCATTTAAAAATGACATTTTCTCCTTGATAAAGTCATTATGCTAAAGAGTAGTTCAAGTCATACAGAACCAGTCACGACTCTTAATATCAATGAGGCAGTTTTCTACTAAACAGTAGAAAACCACCATTTTTCTACTGTATATAATCTTAATATCACTCACTGCAATTCTAACTCAGCTATTCTCACTGAAGGCATGAAAAACTTTTTTGTCACTTTCACAGTGCGAGAAAACTGCTAAAAAGTTAGCTAAGCACACTGTGGAAAAAATATGTAAAGTCTGTGTGCCACATGAAGACTTTACTTAGTCCAGTATGTTTAGAAATGTATGTCTTGATTTTTTTAACTCTTACTTTTTGAATGTATGATGACAAAATGATGTTTCCATCAGTAAGTCATTCAAGAAAGCCTAAGAAAGGTACTGCATACTCATTTTATCAAATATAATCAAGCAACCCAGTTCATGCATAATGTGGAGACCATTTTCAGCCTTGGCACAGGTACGCCGTCTCAGACTGCTCTTGCTGCCAGTTTTGATTAGCTGTTCATCATTTCATTGACTAAAGGGCCAATAAAAGGAGAAGAGTCCTGCTTTTTGGGATTCTAATGGCATGTCAACTTATGTCAGTAACTTTCACAGCAGCTTGTTCCTATTCCTGCTGCATATTCATAAAGCTGGTGTTTTTCACCTGAGAGAGTCTGTTTCTCATAACCATCCATCCATTTTTTTTAAATAATATAGGATTACAGAGGGGACGGGGGTTGTCATAGTGCAAGATGCAGGGTGTATACCTTGGACTAACAAAGTCAGAGTACACTAACATGTCTGTGTACTCTGACTTTCTCCCACAGTCCACGGACATGCATCTTAGGTTACCTGGCAGTTCTAATTTCACCCCAGATTTGAGTGTGAATTACCTGTCCAAGGTGTACCCTGCGTCTTGCCCTGTGACAGCCCCTCAAATAACATACAGTTGCCACACAGAAAGGCCCCAGCCTCATCTTACTTGGAATCAAGCAGCACCTTTGACTGACCTGGGTCATCTTGACCTCTCACCCTATCCAGTAATACACAGTCCCAGTCCAAATATTTTTTAATAATAATCTTGCAGTAGACACTGACAGGTTTCAGCACGGCTGCAATTTTAAGATCTCAAAATAAGTAAAGTCACAACGACAAAGTTCTCAGGCAGTTGAGTATGAACTGAAGATTATAAGTTATGTAAAGGTTTTGTTTTTAAAGGGACTTTTGAAAACTTTTTGATTACTGCCTTCATATACAAGCGGTTTATATTTCCCGGTGATTAGTTACAATAAAGTTAGTTTAGGTGAATGAAAATGGTGGTGTAAGATGTTTTAAGATGGCTGTCAAGACATGATTTTCGAAGGACTTCAGTGAGCATGGAAAGAAGTGTTATCAGCTGGAAGTTTCTCCTTGCAGAGTTCCCTCACATTGTAAGAAACATGTAGAATTGTAGATTGAAGCGACTCAGAAACACCTGGAAACTAGAAATCAAAGGTGTTGTTTTGTTTTGCGCTATGAAGAACATTTTAGACTAGAGCTTTGTCCTGTGGGTGCCAGGAAAACACACACACACACAGACCATCACTGGCTCATCCGTCCACCCCCTCTGTCCAGTTGGTTTGTGCTCTTAAGTAATACTAATGACACACTGGTCTCTCACTAACACACTGCACCGCCCAGAGCCTCATTAAAGGTGGAACTGAGCCAAACAAGTTCCTCTTCACTTTGCATAAATTAGCTCAGATGCAATGTATCACTGCCAGGCTACACACACACACACACACACACACACACACACATATTCCCACCTACCTTCATTCATCGCTGTTGTACTGTTTCTATCTTCTTCCTCATTTGCTCATCAACTGAGATGTCATCACTCAATGTTTGAGCAGGATTCAACAGAGTCAGTTGCACATGAGCAAACACACAATTTGTCATTTTCTAACTGGACCTTTTTGTCATTTAATTTTTGCAAATACTCTTTTTTTCCTCCTAATCTTCAGGGTGTTTTTTTCTTCCACAGAGAAAAAACTGCAGATCAAGCCTCGTCTGTAAGATCACAGAAACCAGTGGGACTGGACACGAAAGGATTTTATCAGGTTTAGTGTTATGTGAGTTCTGAGCTCAGGCTTGTCCTGGCACATGTATCCATCTTGAATGAGTTCACTCAGGGCCTGAAAGTTTTATGCTTTTTGTCTATGAACATGTTTTGCATATCAGTTAGATGTTTACAATGCCAGTTTTGTAAAGAAATAAAGTATTAACTCTGAATGTGTGTTGTCAGTTGGTTTTTTTTGGTTATTTTTTTAATCTGAATCCGGATCTTTATCTTACAATCTAAAGCTCTTTGGGATGACTGTTGTTGTGAATTGACAAGCCAGAAATAAAACTGAATTGATTTGGAGTTGTGGTGTTGTGAAATGACCCTAGAGGGTTTGTGGGAGCTTGGCAGGTGGTGGCAACAAAAACGGTTTAAATTCTGGAGATGAGAAACATAAGCACACCTTCGCCACATTGTGTGCGCCTGTGTTTGGCTCCTAGCCACTATAGCTTTAACACATAAAGCAGAAAAGACACTTTCTCCATACACAGCGTCCATACACAGTAAATAAAGTCATGCTCAGGTCCTAGAGTGGCTGCACATCTGCAAGACACTTTGCAGCTCATCTCCACCCCAGCTCCTCCTTTCATGTAGTGCCTGACTTATCAAGGTTCAAGGTTCTTTATTCGTCCCATGCATAGTTATACAAGTAAAACACACAGTGAAATGTAACCTGACACGCTCCTCGACTTGTGCAAAAGCAGAGGGGGGGGGGATTATATATAATATATACATTAGGTAAATGTGCAGTAGTAGCATGTATGCAGCAAGCAGGTGAATTCTGTACATTTCACAATCTATTTTACAGAATAGACAATATAAACATATTTAAAATGAAAGGAATTTGAAATGTACATTGTGCCAG